ACAGAATTATTTGATGGAGAATATTTTGAAAAACAAAAAAAACAACATAGCAGATCAAATTTTTGGAACAGTAATGAAGGTCAAGAAATCATATTTTTTGATGAATTTTATACAAAAATTGATTGGTCAGATATGGTGAATGTTTTAAATGATATATCTTGTCCTGTGAAAATTAAATATAGGACATATAAAACTTTATTTAAAGCAAAATATGTTTTTATAACAAGTACAAAACTATCTGAAGAAGCTTATAATTTTGGACAGCATGATTCTGAAGATGATAATAAGTGAGATTTTAAATAATTTAATCGTCAAATAGATTTTGTTATAGAATTTCAAGGAGAATGTGATGATAATATTGAAAAATATACAACTCAACTCATCTTTCATAAAGGTTTAGAAACTGATTTTTGAAATATGAATTGGTTGGTGAAATTTTGATGTCGAGGATTAACAGATGATGAATTATGAAAAAAAATTCTACAATCTTCTAATGGATTCGAAAAATCTATTGTTGAAAAGGATAAACAAATATATTGTTGTTGTCAGTTTCCAGAATATAAGAAAAAATATCTTTGTGATTATTCAAATTCAAAATGTTTTGATAAATATTGTCTTGAATATGAACAATTATATATAACCAATCAGATAGAAGATTCTCAAATAGAATCTTCCAATCAAATCAAAGAATCTCAAAATGAAATTTTATCTGATGATCAACAAGAATTAAATTTTGAGCAATAAATCGATATTGATTCAGAAGATTCAAATTATTCTCATAAGAGAAAATGAAATCAATCAAATAAACAAGTAAAAAAGAAAAAAGTAATTTATTTTTCTGATTAAATATAATATTTTATTTAATAATATAAATAATATATAAATAATATATAAATATTTAAATATAAATATTTAAATATAAATAGATAAGTTAGTTAGTTACAGATTTGAATAAATTATTTAAGTATGTTGTCAAAATTAAAATATTCATAAAATAAATTGTTATCTAAAGTTGAATTGATTACATTATCATTAAAATCAATGAAATTAAAATAATTATAGTCATAAATAGAATTAATTTTATTGTAATTAATTAAATTTTTGTTATCAATTTCTCGTTTGTTAATGATTTCTAATTCAGAAGTATTAGAATTTTTTTCTGTATTTTTATCTATTTCAGAATTAGAATTTTCTTCTATATTTTTAACAATTTCGTTGATATCATTATTAATATCAGAATCTTCTTTAGAGATTTCATATATTTCGTTGGTAAAATCGTTAATAATTTTAATTTTATCATCTTTGATTGGTGTTTTTTGAATAGATTGTCTAAATTTATATTCTTCTTCTTTAAGAATATCAATTCTATGATTTTCGATAATCATGTCTTCAATCCATAAAGACCAAGATTCATTTTCTTGTCTTCTATGTTTTTCTTCTTGTAGTTTTCATTTCAGTTGAAATATTTTTTTTTTGAGTTTTTTGATTTTTTCTTTCAGTTTATTTTTTTTTGAATTTTTGCCTAGGTATTTTTCTTTACCTGTTTCTTGTTTTAAATAGTATTTTGATTGTTGGTATTTAGACATTTTGTCTTAATGTTCATTTGAATTAAATTCAAGCATTTTTAAAGTAATTTTTTCAGTTGTACTACAGTTTTTAATTTATTAAAAATAAATTAAGGCTTTTCCAAATTTATTATTAGATTCTCATTTCGATTTTAATTATTTCTAAATTTGGGTTTGATTTGTAAGATGAATATGATTGGTGTCTTAATTATTTAGAAATTTGTAAAATATAAAGTTAAATACAATTGGCTAATTTTAAAAAATTTACTTTCCAAAAGTAACTCATAAAGAATAAATTTGATTGGCCAAAACTCAAAATACTCAGATTTTTCTAAAGATACTTAGAATTTTGTATATCTGATTGGTTGAATCTCAAAATACTCAGATTTTCTCTCAAAAGATACTTAGAATTTTGTACGTCTGATTGATCGAATATCAAAATACTCAGATTTACTTACAAAAGATACTCAGAATTCTATATGTTTGATTTGTTGAATCTCAAAATACTCAGATTTTTGCAAAAGATACTCAGAATTCTATACATTTAATTGGTCAAATCTCAAAATATTCAGATTTTTGTAAAAGATACTCAGAATTCTATATGTTTGATTGGTCGAATCTCAAAATACTCAGATTTTTGCAAAAGATACTCAGAATTCTATATATTTGATTGGTCAAATCTCAAAATACTCAGATTTTCTCACAAAAGATACTCAAAATTCTATATGTTTGATTTAAAATGTATTGATATTTATTTATTAAAGATAAAAAATATATTTACTATGTATAATTAATCAAATTTTAAAGTATATTTTTCAACAATTTTAAAATTATTAGTTTGAGAATTAAAATCGATAATACTATTATTAGAATCTAAACTAATATAATTACTCTTTTGTTTTTTAATTACTTCAGTTTTTTCAGTAATAATTTTATATTTATTTGTTTGAACTGGTAATAAAGCTTAACCAGTTTTAACAACTTCTATAATTTCTTCAATAGTTTCTTCTTCATTTTTGTTAGAATCTTCAATTTGAACTGGTTTTGGTATTTGAATAATTAAAGATTTATTATTTTGAGTTATTAAATTATTTGAATTTTCTTTTCATTGAATTTGATTAATTTGTTTAATTTGTTTCTTTTGTTTTTCATTTTGTGCCATTGCCAAATTATATTCTTGACAATGGTATTTGGAGAAATGGATTTTAAGATTTGTTAAATTGGTATCAATAAGATAATTTGCTTTGCAAATATCACAAATAAGTCTTGTTTTAAAAGTATTAGTGTGGAAATGTTTGTGAATTTCGTGAGTGTTTCTTATTTTGTTTAAAGTACATATATTTGGTTTTGAATATAAAATATTTAAAGAGAAATAATTTTAATTATTTTCAAATTCGTATTTTACGAATAAAGAAGTTCAATGAACTTCCTTATTCATACAAATTTGGTTGTATAATTCTAAGAATTTATTTAAATTCAAATTTAAGGTATTTCTGAATTTATTCTAGAAATTATTTTTAAATTCTAGATATTTCCATTTCTACTGAGTTTATCTATTATTGATATAACTTTATATAAACGATCTTAAAATTATGATGTTTTGATAAACATGACATATTATATTACATCTGCATGTAATTTTTGCCGAGTTAAAAAAATTTGGTGTAATGATGTTAAACCATGCTATCAATATGAAAAAAGAAATATAGAGTGTATTTATAAAAAATATCATAAAAAACGTGGATCTCAATTATAAATAGAAAAACAAAAAACTCCAATTTTAGTTCAAGTAAAGGGAAAACATTTGTTCATAAAAGTAAAGCTTCTTTAAGTTTTATTTTAAATAAGTAATAAAATTGTTTATTAAATTGATATATTTAATTATAATTATAAATAACTTCAAAGAATTTACATTTAAAACATATAAAATAATATATATTTTTTTCTTTAGATTTTTTAAAATCTAATTACAACCTATTAAACATTTACATTTTTTACTATATGATTTAAAGTAACAAGTTTTGAAAAAAATTAATTTTTCTAATAAAATAAAAAAATCTGTTGCTTTTTTTGGGCATATAAATTTTTCATACAATGTAGTTTTAAAAATAATACATTTTCAAAAATTTAATAATGGTCTTTTTTTATTTTTCATTTTATTAATTTGTTTTATTATTGTTAGATTTACTATTGTTAAAGATTCGATATATTCAAATAATAAATCATCAACATTTTCTTCAATAATTTTCAATTTAAAATGTTGTTTAAATAATTCAATAAATATTTTTTTAAATTCTTTTTTAATAGTGCTATGTATTAAACGTAAACTATTACACATGTATTTGGGTGATTTTGAGAAGTAATATTACTTCCATGTGTTTGTATTATTTTTTTAAAGATGTTTTTAGTATAAAAATTAATTATAATACTATAAAAATAATTTCTGAATAAAAATTAAGGAGATTTGAAGTTCGAAAAATTATACAGGTTATTTTTACTATTATCTATTTTTTTGTATAGTTCAACTCTTTATTTTTATATTAAAATATAATTAATAATTTCCAAATTCGTATTTTACAAATTTGGCCTAATCTTATTTCTTTGTTAACCAAATTCGTATTTTACAAATTTGGCCTAGCCTCATTACTTTGTTGACTAAATTCATATTTTATGAATTAGGAAGTTCAATAAACTTCCTTGTTTGTATTTTATGAATTTGGAACTGTAATTTAAATTCATCAAAAATTTCAATTCCTCTTATAAAAAACAACTCTGAAATTTTCAGCGCATCTCTTCAAATTCATCTATAAAAAGATAAATTTTCTACTTATGAAACAGTATCGAATTTCAGGATTTGATAACAAATACAAGAGTTCTTCGAGCTGTATTTAGAAATAATAATTTTACAACTAATTTTGTTGTTATTTTTAATTATTATTTCAAATATCTATTATAAGAGATATACAAACAAATTTCTCAAAATATGCTCCATTGCGATAGAAAATATTTTATGAATCGTTTGTGACTCGTAATAGCATTTCATAGAGAAATATTGATTTTTCATGATCTTATGTTATCAAATATTAGCAACATAATCCTAAAGAAAAATTTGATATGTTGCAATATTCAGAACATATTTCTTATCAAAATTTTTTCATCTGTAAATGTGGAACAGATAAAACCAATTTTCAAAAAAAAGCATATTAGCAAAAATTTTATCCTCATCTTTGGTATTAAGATTCATGTTATCAACAAGCATCATGTCCATATCGACATTGTTATGTATATTTTAAACTCCTCCAATCAGTAAACAAATCTCTTCCAAAAAATGAACGTTTAATCAATATAAATAAGAAAAGTTCGATGATGAAAATCAAGAAGAAATTTCGTACTTTGAAACTAGATTATAAAATTTATCTTTGGGTAAAGAATCTTAATGACACAACATCCACAATTTACAAACAAGAGAGTGATTTACTTCGAAATTTTAAACAACCAATTTTTAAATGACAAAAAAACAATAAACAAAATGATATCAAAAAATCTATTAAAACACAATTAAATCTTCTTGAACAACAAGAAAAATCTCCAGAATATCATCCTTGATCTCCAAATTTTTGCTTAGTATAAATATACTGAGTAGAATTTTTTTTAGTCAACATTTTAAAATCAATTCTTAATTTGCTTATTATTTCGGTCAATTGATTTCTGCTATTATTAATTTTCTTGTTTCAATTAATCATATATATTTTCAATCACACTATTATTATATCAATCAACAAACACCAAATTTAATCGATATTGAACCTTTTCCTACACCAAAATATAAAAGTTTTCAAAATATCAATGAATATCTTCAAAAAAATTGCCATATAAATAAATTTGAATTCTTTTTAAAATCTAATGATGTTACTCATGTTAATATGAAACATGAATATACATTTGGATTAAATAGAGGCCATTGTTGGAATTGTTACAACTCATTTTCACATGAGTGTTATGCAGCATGCAAAAAAATAGTTTCAAAATGTGAATGTGTTTGTTTATATTTGTAGTTACACATATCTGACAGATTAACAAAACAAAACTGGTAAATATACTCAATTCAAAAAATATAAATATTATACCTCAGATATTAATAATATTGAGTATAATTGTTTGGGTGTTGTTGAGAATGACGATTATGTGATATTATTTATTGATGAGCAGAAAACTCAAAATTTTTATTTTGCATGTAATTAAAAATTATTAGTTATATTATTATTTTATTATCATTATTTAATAAATAAATAATCTAATCAGTATATTTATACTGATTAGAATTTTAATTGTGTAAATGTCTTATTTTAGTATTCAATATTATAATAAAGATTATAATTTCGTATTTTTGGGAAATCATAATTTTGAGATAGCACAATTATTTAAAGAAAAATATTATGACCAATTAAAATCAATTGTTAAAACATAATTCAAAAAAACATATCAGCTTAACTTCGATAGATACTAAAGAAAAATTTAAATATTTATTTTATTTTGCAACATTATTAAGAAATAAACATATTTTGCCAACTATCAATGAAGATAATATGTAAACCAGTTTTATTTATAGTCTTTTTTAGAGGATATTCAAAATATGAATGTAAATTAATTTATAAAAATTTTATTAAAAAATTTATTATTCTATTTTGTTTATATTTTTTGCAATGTTTTTTTCAAAAATTATTATTATATATTTAAAATATTATTTAATCTATATTTATTTCTAATCAGTTTGTTAACTGATTAAAATTTTATTTATTCGTATAATAATGAAAATTAATATTGCAATTAATAAGCTTATAGCAACTGGGAAAACTACTATTAGTCAAGCTTTAGCTACATGATTAAATTATCAGTTTATCGATTCTGGATTATTTTATCATTATTTAGCATATTATAATATTGATTCAACAAATTTTGATCAATTTATGTATGATAGTCTAATTAATTATTATGATAATGACAACAATTTATTCACTCTCACTAATAGCCAAAAAGTGTCTGAATTATCAAAAAATAAAGAAATTCATTTATTAATTAATAAAGAAATTTAAAATTTAACGCAAGAAAAAGGATTTGTTGTGGTTGGACAAAATGTAACCACTAATATTCTTCCGAATACTGAATTTAAAATTGTATTATTAGCTAATTTTAAAACACGTTGTAGTAGACGTGTTATACAATTAAACAAAGATCCTCGTAATATTTTCTGTGATATCATTAAAAAAGACAGTGTTTCTAAACCTCTTATCAACCAATCAAAAAAGGGTTCAAAAGTTATTGATACAATAGATCTTGAATTAATAAAAGTTATCGAAAAAATTTTATCTATTATTAATAAGAAAATATCATTTAAAATATATTTAAAAATTTCTTTAGTTTTTATATTATTTTTATTATCTTTTTTGATAAACAAATAATCTAATTAGTATTTTGTACCGATTAGAATTTTGATTATGTAACATTTATCGTTATCAAATATCAAATATGTCTAAACGTACAAAAAGAACAATAGAAGAAATTGACCAATTTGAAGCCAACCAATCAGAAGAATCTCAACCTCAAATAGAAGTTTTAGTAACCAATACAATAATTGTCAAAAAAAATTATAACTATTATCTCGAATTAACAAATTGGAAGCTTAATGATAAGATCGATAAAGCTGTGTTAAAAAAAGCATTTCCAAATTTTAATGATTGTATACAATTTGTAAATGATTTAATAAATTATTATAAAGCAAAAAATTTTATGTTCAATCATATTGAAAGAATAATTCTAAAAGAAAAAGATAGTCTAACCAGGGAATGGGTCTCGTGGGGAACCAAACCAGCATGGTCTTTGCTGGTAAAGCTGAAATGGTTCTTTTAAGCAGGCTTGATATGGCAGACAACAGCCAATTGATGACCAAGGGAGGTACCTAAATCGGTACGAAATCCTTAGAAAGTTAAGGATCCTGAGGGAGATAAATTGTTGTTTTGGCAGGTCATACTGGGTAAATACTTGGTGAGTCTTTTTTAGATTAGAGCATTACACTATATAGTCAATTATATATATATAATAGTCAAATAGTGGTTCAAATAAAT